TTCATCATTGGCGCTTGAGATCCCGTCAATATCACCGGCTTCCCCAGATTATGGAACATGAAACTCAACGCCGATGACGTGTACGCCAGAGAGTCTGTGCCATGCAAAATAACGAATCCATCGAAGAGTTGGTAGTTTCGCTGCACCGTCCGGGCAATTTGATCCCAACCAGTCGAGTCAATAGAGCTACTATCGAGCAACTTCTCGAACTCGAGGACGCAGTATCGCACGCGGCGATCATAGGTGCTGACTGGAGTTCTAAGACTTTGAACGGCTTTGCGTGTGCCCTTGTCGTCGGTAACAATCTCCAAAGGCTCGGGGTACGATCCATCATTGAAGACTGGTCTGGGTGCAAGTCCAGCTTTGAGGAAACCCCGCGCAGGTACTAGTCCGTCTGGAGATTTGCGCATGCATATCGTGCCGCCTAGAGAGGTCAGTACGGATGAACATATAATGTTCACTCCATGAATATATACCCGTTATGACGATCAAGACCCGTGACTCTGGCAGTTGTAGCTCGGGGTATTGGTCGTCCATCTCGTTAACGCGCTAGAGGATCGAAGTTGTCGTAGGCCTTATCTTTGTTTGGCGGAGACTTGTGGATGCGAGCAAGCTATTCGGTGCAAAAAAGCAATGCTATGAGTGGTAGCTGGGTTCTGTCGATCGAGATCCGTCTGACAAGGTAGTGCCTTTGAAAGTTCGTCACGATCCGGTACCGCACAAAGCAAAAAAGATAAGAGCCACCTTGGGACACAATCTTGGCAAGATAGCGAGTAGCGTAGCGCAATTCACTCGCAGCGAAACCTACTGACCATCGGAGAAATGTTGCAAATCGTCGTGATCAAGTTGCCCTTTCCCATCGGGCCGAAGTAGCAGGTTCGGCCATGCGACCCACCTTTAGGTATTCTGATTACCCCTACAAAATCGACCGTATTACCCCTTCGAAACTCGATTCTATTACCCCTACAAAACTGAAAATTTGCATCGCGAAGCCAGGTCTGATCATGCTCGCGTTAAGAAGGCCCGCAGCTGCATGGGAACCATCGGCTTAAGAGATCCACGCGTTACGTCACGAAAACCGCAAAATTTAGATGCGTACAGTACCACGTGTGAACGCGATTGGAAACAGTATCTACAGTACCACTACCGCATAAGTCTCTGTCATGTCTGCGCCTTGCACTACTTTGACTTTCATCAGCCCGGCCCAGACCTCACGATGCGCCCTTCGCGGCTTCCTTGGCAGCATTCGCACGCGCCTTCTCTAAAGCCTTGACCTGTTCCCAGTTGTTTTTCACCCACTTGAGCACAGCGTCTTTGTTGTCCGCCGATACAAATTTGGACCAGATTAAAGGCTCACCAAGGTTGGGCTCAGACGAAATGCGCGGCTCATTCTCCTGGAAGACGACCCAACGCCTCAAGCCCTTCAGAACGAGAGCGAGAGAGTTGCTTTGTATTGGGACCGTGACTTTGATCTCCTTCCAGAGCTCTTCTTCCGCTGTCTTGAGGTGATGATCCTTCATCATAGTGTCGTACTCATCCTGCTTCTTGAAAACTGTGAGAGCCTCTTCCAGTACTTGCTGCTTAGTCCACGTGTTTGCATCACCTCTGTCGGGATGCGCTGGCATGTAGTCCTCTACAAAACGCTGGTACATGGGCCGCTTTGCTTGCCGGGCTCGATCGTTGTGCTTCTCGACACGCCCTTCGAAGATTTTATGTGAAAAGAACCTCCCGCTGGAGGCCCAGTCAAAGAGATCGTCTTCATCTTTGAACCCTGACCAGTATTTTGCGACATCCATGCCGTAGAAAGCGATGGCGAGATTTGGATCTCGTGTGAGAAATAATAGCGCTTTCTTCTTGTTGTATGGCTCAATTTCTTCGACTCGTACATGCAGGCCCTGGTCATTGCAGGTGAGACCCAGCGGACGATGAGAGACGCCAATGATTTGCACGAGGTCAGCGTCGCCTTTCATGAAGCGCGTCCATTCGAAGAGCTCAGCGCTTTCCGGGGTTTCATCTCCAACCGAAAGTTCGATGTCGACTTGCACGTGTGCATCTGGTATCTCGGGATGTCGCACGGCGTAGGAAGAGGACCCGCCGCGTGGGAGATGGATATCGGCGTCGAGATTCTTTTGTATCGCTGCCCATATCCCCTCTTTGGTGTTGGGTGGCCGAATGCCTTCTACCAAGAAGTCGATGTCCCCATGGTCTGTCTTGGCTGGAGCGTCACGCGGGACGACAACACGTACGAATAGTGTTTCCAAAAGGCCTTGATACTGCGCGGAGAGCGTCTTGTACAGTGCTGGTGGCAGGCGAGGGACCTTGATGGGTCTGCCGGAGTCTGTTGGAACATTCGCGAACGCGAGACCTCCCATGGCTACCTAAGTAGCGAGTATTGCGCAAATCGTTGTCGGGCCTGGTAGAAGCGGATTGCGTGTTGTTCTCGTTGAATCCTGAGTGCTATGACATAAAATCGTCGAACAGAGGGAGTAGCGAGCTTATATGGCACTGTGGGGTATCGGGTGCTGCCTATCGTGAATGTACCAGAGCGCACTGCCAGGAGCGACGCTGTGGCGGAGTGAAAGCAAGTCATCTCTGTGACTCCCAGTTGCTAAGGGCCTTCTGCTGACGTGCCCGCCGCGTTGAAAGAATCGCGATGCAGATTCATTTTCCGCACCATAGAACTTCGCGTCGGTCTATCGTGTCGACGAAGCAGGATAGATAGATGCGTTCTGCTGCCAAAAGGGTGCAGAAGCCGGGATGAGCGTGTGCACGGGTGCATGGGGCCGAACACCTCCGCCTTTTTAAATGGGCCCCGTCGCGCAAACATCCCTGCAGCAGTTCGGAAATTTTATAAACAATGCTCACGGCTGAAGTCTTTCGTCATTCCACCAAGATTTAATGTCTGAAGTGTCTGATTGTTGCTCACCCGGCGGCAGCTGCTCGAAACCCATGGATCACCAAATGAATGAAGTAGACGTCGCTCGCTTCGAGGAGCTTGCGGCTCTTGAGCACGAATTCGAAGACGTGGAAGAGGAGATCAGTAAGTTGCGATTCCATTTCTATCACGTCGCGTCTCGAGAAAGGGAGTCGCATTGCTAACCCCATCGCAGTCCGCCAAGCCGAAGCTCTGCAGGGCCCTCTCTACAAGAAACGCGCCGACTTCGTAACAAAGATCCCGCACTTCTGGTCGCTCGTTTTCGAGCAGGCGCCGCCCGAGATCGACAACTTCATCCAGCCCACCGACTCCAAGGTTTTCGCCGAGTGTCTCGATACTTTTGAGGTGTCGCGGATCGAGCTCAACGACCCCAATGGCTCCCCGCGCAGCTTCTCGCTCAAGTTCGGCTTCACCGACAACGAATACTTCGAAGACAAGGTGCTCGAGAAGAACTTCTGGTTCAGGAAGACCAAGGACTGGCAAGGTCTAGTTTCGGAGCCTGTCAAGATCAACTGGAAGAAGGACAAGGACCTCACCGGTGGTCTCACGGATGCGGCGTACAAGCTGGGCGAGATGAGGAAGAAGTTGGCAACCGACACTGCCAACGGCGTTGCGAGGAAAGAGGAGGCCAAGACTAAGGAATATAAGAACCTGGCCAAGAAGATCGAAACAGCTACAGACGCCTCTGTTAGCTTCTTCGGTCTCTTCTCTTTCGTCTCCGGCTATCGCTGGGTCAGCGCACAGGAGTCAGCACAGGCTGCCAAGGAGGAGAAGGAGAGGTTCGAGAAGATCAGGCGAGGGGAGAAGGTCGATGACGAGGATGAGGCTGAGGACGAAGAAGACCCGCAAGACTACCAGGAGATCGAGGTCTTCCCAGGCGGCGATGAGGTTGCTACCATCCTCGCCGAAGACATGTGGCCTAACGCTATTAAGTACTACAGTATGTGGCATGCGCTTAACTACTCTTCATCCTGTCGCTAACAGATCACAGAGAGCACATTCGACGAAGACGAAGACGACGAGGAACTGTCCGACTTGGATGTCATGGATGCGAGTGACGATGATGACGACGACGACGAACAAGAACCAGTCGACATTCGCGCATTGGTGGGCAAGGGTCGCAAGTCAGAGCAAGAGCCGCCCTCGAAGAAGCAGCGCAAGGCTTAAATAAAACGAGTCACCATGAGCTCCTTGTGGACGACTTCCCACCATCGTCATATAATACGACGAAGACCATATACCCGGAGAACCTAGTGACGTTCTGCTAGGTCTCTTTTACGTAGCGATGAACTGAATAAACCTCCTCGGTCAAGCCCGACAATTGCATACTAAAGGTGCGCCTGGGCAAAACGACACAATTCCCTTCTGTGGCATCCAGAATCTTTGTGTCCTCCACCCGCAGCACCGCTGTATTGTCAAACTGCGTCCTTTCGTCCCGTGTTTCCTTCTACCGATCTTACCAAGCTCCGGTCGACGGACCGTTCATGCCTTCTGTTCTGCCGCTCACCTTACCATCTGGGTACACAGCTTCGCACGACGTCTCTTGGAAGCTCAACAATCAGTCAAGATGGTTGTTGCCTCCCCGCAATAGCTCCGTGCATGGCTTCGAGAAGCTTTGCCTCCACCAATCAATCAGCGGCAGCTTCGATCTATTCCTCTTTCGGCACGGAAATTCACTCCGCCAGTTCCGCTGGCCTGTCCCTTGATGACGTTTTCAGTCTTGGTGCAAATCCTCACGCTCGAGCATTCGGTACCGCGACGAAGCTTGGAGCTTACCTTAGCTCCTTGGTTGACCAACGATTGCCTTTGTAGCCTTTTGTAATCCACTCCATCGGATGCATAAGGATGATTTTGAGCACTTTCTTGAGGGGTACCATGCACGCCGAGCTCAAAATTTCCGGGTAATCTCCATCGATCAAAGGTTTCCGTCAGCGGGGAGCACGATGAAACCACCCGGTATGATGCGGATAGATCTAGTAGAGGTACATAGGTACTTATTTAAATAGTCTCTGGATCCGTTCATGGTGGCGCAACAACTCGTGCTATTCCACCTTGACTCTTCAAGATGGATCAATTACTGTCGGTCTTGAGTCTTCTAGTTCTCGCCGCTCCTGCCACTGCTCAGGGCAACGGGACAGCTACTGTCTCTTATGTATTGCCTTCAGGCTACAGTACCTCAAGCTTCAACGCCTCCGCACAGCCCACAGCCTATACCCGCACTGATTTCGGACCCAATGCACTCGCCTCGCTCTGGGACATGGTGGGCCCTATCGCTACAGGCCCCATCACGACTACCGTTGAACCAACAGCAGAGCCAACGGCATATCCGCAGCCAGATCCTCAATACTATCACGCTCTTGTAGGAAGCGGATATCCCGAGGTACAGGGCTTGAAGCTCCCCAAGAACTTTCAATGGGGCTTTAGTTCTTCCGCGTATCAAATCGAAGGTGCGGTCAAGGATGAAGGCAGAGGACCCAGTATTTGGGATTTGCTGGCACATAGGGGTAAGTCCTGACCTGACTACAAGACGTGCATGTGAAACATATACTGACTTCGTACCTCTTTTTCTGCAGTTCCCAACTACGTAGCCGACAATACGACTGGCGATATCGTTGATCAGCATTATTATCTGTATAAACAGGATTTCGCCAGACTAGCAAGTCTAGGAGTCAAAGCCTTCAGCCCTAGCTTTTCATGGCCGCGCTTTTTTCCCTTTGGACATGGCCCGGTTAATGAGGAGGCCATTGCGCACTACGACGACGTGATCAGAACCATGCACGAGAATGGCATTCATCCAGCGGTAACGCTCTTCCACTGGGACACTCCTCTCGCCATATTCAATGAGTACGGTGCCTGGACTGACCGCCGCGTCGTGGATGACTTCTTCAACTACGCCAAGTTCGTCATTACACGGTATGATGCCTACGTTGACGAGTGGTTTACGATCAATGAGCCCCAATACTGCAATTGGCAATACGCCGGGTATCCGGCAGGTGAATACTACCCAGCGCCAAATGGTAATTCTCTTCATACGAACTGCATGTGAGATATACACTGACTTCGTTTACCACGGTTCAGGCGTCACAGGCGGCAATGAAGCCCGCTTTCTTTGTGGCCACCATACACTGCTAGCGCACGCAAAGGTGTCCAAATGGTACCATGAAGAATTCAAAGGACGCGGCCGCATGACCTTCAAGAACAGCGGTAACTACTACGAGGCCAACAGCACAAAACCAGAAGACGAAGTTGCACGCCAGCGGAACTTTGACTTTAGCATTGGCTGGTTCGGTGGACCATGGACTAACGGTGACTACCCGCAATCGCTCAAAGACACACTTGGCGACCTCTTGCCCGAGTTCACACAAGAGGAAAAGGATATGATCAAAGGATCGTGCGACTTCTACGCCATCGACCCCTACTCCAGCTTCTTAGCTTTTGAGGTCGATGGCGGGCTGGAGTCATGCACGAGCAACCGGTCACACCCGTCCTTCCCTGACTGTGCTGGTTCAGCAAGTGTGGCTCCTAATGGCTTCCCTATCGGTCCTGCCGCCGACCCGGCCATGTCGTGGTTTTACTCTGCACCTGCCGGCGTGCGCCGCTACCTCAAGCACATTACTCAAGTCCTCTTCCCATCGATCCCAGACATTGTTGTGAGCGAATTCGGGTTCGCAGAGCCTTTCGAAGGGCAATGGAAGAGCCTGCCCTCGGCCGTTTGGGACCTCAAGAGAGCGGACTACTTCCAGCAATATCTAGACAACATTTTGCTGGCGATTCATGTGGATGGCGTCAACGTGACTGGAGCGTGGGGGTGGTCCATTCTAGACAACTTCGAGTGGGCGCTTGGTACGTCGGTCAGATTCGGAGTGCAGTACGTGAACTACACGAGTCTTGAGAGGACACCCAAGGCGAGTTTGTTCCAGTTCCTCAACTGGTTCAAGGAGCATGAAGCGGGCGGGAACGCGACGATGAGGGTGTAGAACAGGTATAAGGTAGTAACAGTGCTACTGTGAAGTTGGAATCAGAAGTATGATCATGTAAATCATGTCAGATTTGACGACTTTGCGATTGTTTGAAGGATGTCTGATGTTGGTTGATGGGTGATGGTGGTTGATGGGTGATGGTGGTTGATGGGTGATGGTGGTTGATGGGTGATGGTGGTTGATGGATCCGCATGACAGCGCGTACCCTGTTCCACATGACGTGTTGCCCTTCTCTGTAATGGCCGGAAGGCAGCCTGGGGCGAGGCATGACGCGTCGACGGCCACACAGACGCGAATGCAGCAAAGACAAGCACTTGGGCGTCCTTGTGAGTCGTGCCGGCCATGGTGCGGGCGTTAGCTCCCTTTCTTATCGCGCGATTAGGTCCCTTGTGACAATGCGGATCCACCCGAGCATCTTGGTGCGCATGCCTGCCTGGGACCATTCCATGCAACATGTTATGACGATGCCGTTTGAACTGACTGAATGACTCAGATAGTGGGCGTTTCTATCTTGAATACTTCCTGTGGTGTAATACTTGCGCTGCTTTGGACCATCTCTCGCACATCGTGGCTGCCACTTGGCACATGAGCTTAACGCATCCGGTTGCACCTAGGTCCCCAGCTACGGACCTCAAACTGCCAGCAACCATCAAGACGACCACTAGAAGCTCCCACGGCGTGCACACGACGACTATCGAACTTCCCCTGTTTGGCGCAGCTCGAGCGTTTGTGATAGCATCAAAGGTGCCCGGCCCCGACGACGGCATCGTCATTGCTCGGCTCGTGACAACGCCAGCTGCTCCAAACCTCCGAGCTCACGTCCGCAAGCTTGCCCACCTCTCCACCGTCTACGCCGACTCCACGCGCACTCCAGCACAGCGCCTCGCCTCGAAGCTGCCTATACTCTCTCCCTAATCCCCAAGCCAACACCCCTCCAGGCACGGCGCTGCCACCAACCCATACCCGCGTCATCTGCGGGTAACCAGACCCAGCGTTCGTCCTGGCAGACGAAATCGCCCCAAACCCTCCCTCCCCAGCCGCCTCCGACCACCCATCCACCCCGACGTCCCCCGCTTCTTCTTCCCCAGTCATCTCTGCCCCCTCCAACCAGCCCGCACCCGCCGCCCGAGCCTCCAACCACGCACCCGCTGCCGCTATCCTGTCATCCGACCAGACTACAGCCGGAAAGCGCAGGCACAGCTTCTCTGCGAGCGACGACGCCGAAGACGAGCCCCTCACCAGCGGCACCCGGGGCAGCTTATCCCGCCACATCTCGAAGCGCAGGCGCAGACAGGAAGGGAAGATGCGCCTTGATAACGACACCTCCAAATCCTCACAATCGCCCTCGCGCAACTTCGCAAACGGATCGTCACAGTCGTCAGGGCACAGGTCGCCCCTGGCCAAGGGCGCGAATGGAAGCACACACGGGAGGAACGAGAGCAATGGCTCCTATACGAATGGAGGACCGGTAGCGAACGGGGGATCAGTGCCTGCAACTTTCTTTGGCCATGACAGGGAAGAAGTGACGCGGATACTGATACAGAGTCTGACCGACTTGGGCTACCACAGTGCTGCGGGCGCACTATGCAAGGAGAGCGGCTTCCAGCTCGAAGGGCCCACAGTTGCGGCATTCCGAACTTCGGTACTGAACGGTGATTGGGAGGAAGCCGAAGAGCTGCTGTTTGGGTCAAATACATACCACACCGGTGGTGGTGTTGGTCTAGACGCTCCCTACGGAAGGCCCTGGGGAAAGTCGACATCACAGCCCAGCTCGCAGCGTTCTACAGGCTTGACTCTAGCCGAGGGCGCAAACCGCGAGGTGATGCTATTTTGTCTGAAGCAGCAAAAGTACCTCGAGTTGCTTGAACGGAGAGATCTGAGCAAGGCACTTGCGGTGCTTCGGCAAGAGTTGACGCCGCTTCATCGAGATGTGGGAAGGTTACACGCTCTTTCGGCGTAAGTATCGTCCTGCCATCGGACGTTATCCAGCTAACGCTTCGTAGGCTTATGATGTGCCAATCTGCCGAAGACCTCAGAAATCAAGCTCAATGGGACGGCGCTCGCGGTGACTCACGGATGCATCTGCTTTCTGATCTTTCCAGTAAGCAGCAAGTCTCAGACTATGGCGATTCATACTGACGTCCTGTAGAATCAATTTCGCCGAGCATTATGATCCCGGAACACAGGTTAGCAGTACTGCTAGATGAAGTAAAAGATAGCTGGATCGCAAATTGCCTATACCACAACACCGCCGCGTCACCGTCTCTCTATCTCGACCACAACTGCGAAAGGGATGACTTCCCAACAAAGGCTGTTCTTGATTTGAAACACCACACGGGTGAGGTTTGGTACTTGCAGTACTCAAACGACGGCACAAAACTTGCATCTGCAGGCGAGGACCAGACAATCATTATCTACGAAACCAACACATACAAGGTGTTACATCGACTCGCAGAACACAGGAAATCTGGCGTCGCTCATCTTGCTTGGAGCCCTGATGACACAAAGATAATAACATGTTGCTCGCAACCAGAGAACTCGGCACGGATATGGGATGTCAAGGTAAGGCAGCAAGATTACTCTGATAGCTCCGACTAAAACTAGCAGACCGGTGTATGCATACAATGTATCAGCGACTTCACCTACCCATGTACCACGGCGGCTTGGGATCCGTCCGGTACACGGATTATTCTTGGATCACAGGACGACAACATGGGCTGTAGTGTTTGGGACCTCGACGGGAATCTCAAGCACAACTTCGCCGATGATGGGAAGCTCCGTGTAAACGGCCTCGCATTGTCATTCGATGGCCAGCGATTGGTCGTCATTACAGAGAGCGCGATTGTCGTGTTTGATTATGCCACTTATGAGAGGATTGCCGAGTTTCAGCTTGATGGTACAAAGTTGACGAGTGTTACGATCAGCCAGGATTCACGGCATATGCTCGTTAGCATAAGCCCGGATCAGATTAAGCTCATGGAAATCGACACTGGGGATGTAATACAACGCTTCGAGGCACATGCTCAAAAGCAGTTCATGATTCGATCAGCGTTTGGCGGCGCCGATGAGAACTTTGTAGTCAGCGGCAGCGAGGGTATGTTTGTCTTGTCTTTTCATGCAGGATTATTTGCTAACACACGCTTTCAGATTCACGAATATACATATGGCGCTCCAATGGGCTCCTTATCGAAGCTCTCGACGCACATTCCAACGGCTGCGCCAATAGCGTAGCCTGGCACCCCAAGGATCCTACTACATTCGCTTCTGCTGGCGATGACAAACGAATCAGGATCTGGAAACCAGCTTCCGCGTCACCAATGCCATCGAGTAGCAGTAACGGTTATGCTAGGTAGAATGGGCCGCTCACCTGGTGTAATTTGCATGTAAGGGTTCACGTGTGGTTTGCGTGTGATGTCCTGTACGATGGTTAGTTTTGTGTTCTGTTGCATCAACTTTGGCGTCAGAGGCCCATCTGAGGACTCACAGCATGGCTTATTCTTGGGTATGTGGCTCTAGTTGGCATTCATCGGGCAACCTGTACTCCCCCTTCGGTATGGTGTACGTTATTTATTAGACGCTATCTTTATGGGATTGATTATCTGTTCTTGATTGAACGAATTGCTATAGATGCAAATTTACCTGCAGTTACCCAACTTCTCACCTCCTCCGTTACGTCCCCATCTCCCTTGACACAACTACGGCCTCCCTTTCTTTACGATACTCCGCCCACTTCATCCCTATCAGCGCGGCATCCACCATGTCATCCGATTTACGCTCCCATATCCAAGACACCCCGTTCCCACCGCATCGTCTTGCAACCCTCTTTTCACCCACCCATAACTCCTCCAGTGCTTCCACCTCACCGAATGCTAACCTCGCAACATTGTTTTCGGCTGCGACTCTCCTCCTCTCGTTCCCTTTCCACAACGCCTGTCTTGCTTGTTCCGTCTTACATTCCATAACCGCTCGCTTCCACACCGCTCGATACCCCATATCAAGATATTCGATCTTGCTGACTTGCAGCGTCTCGAGTTGTTTCAAACCCTGACTTAGAGCACGCATGATAGACGCGACATCGGATCGATAGCAGTACGACTCGCTGCGCAAGACGAGATGACGAATATTCGGGAACGTCGTCGTGAGAAAGGTAATTTCGGCCAGAGACCATGCAGCACTTCCGTCAAAACTTCTTAGTCCCACTGCATACTGAAAATTCGGATCGTCTTCTTCCCTTCTCAGGCTAGACCGCGGAATTATTTCGAATAAATCCTTCAGCTCGGTATACTTCTCCATTGCACAATCCTCGCCATCGCCCTTCCCCTTCACCACCAACGTCTGCAGATTGGGACAATGCTGCACTAGAAACGCGGCACTGCTATTCACAACCAATGTCTCCACGCCTCTCAACTCAAATCCAGGGAACCGGGATGAAAGTGAAGAGTCGGTAAACGCAGCAGAGAAGACATCCAGACTCCGGCTCATCATCCTCACTTCCAGTCGCGTCAGCCGCGGTAACGAATGCATAAAGGTAAACAGATCTAGGGCGTCGCTACTAGATACATAGGCGCCGGAGCACCACCACCATAGACTGCCAAACATGTCGATTTTGAGCGCGCGAGCTTGGTGCAAATGTGGCGTCAAGACGTCCGTGTCTAGGGCTTTGAGCGGCGCGGTGATGCGTAGGGTTTTAAATAGTTGCGGAACGAGGAGGGCGTGGAGACGGCGATTTGCTAGGGAGAGTTGTTTCCGTGGAGTCTCGCCGTGTTGCTGGTGATGGTGGTCCAGGAAGTCGCATATGAGTAGTAGGACGTCATCGCATAGGTCGGGGAGAGTGAGTGGCTTGTGTAGTGATGGGAGGAGTGTTGGGTCAATGAAGCTATCGACTCGTGTCTCTCTTGTTTTGGGTGTCATCGTGTTGTTCTGGTCTCAAGTTTGAAGAAGGTCGTGGTCTTGATGTCTACTTCATGATGTTTGATACCGTCAACGAGAGCGGAGAT